CACTACTTGACCCCATCTGGCTGTCCCTGGAGTCATGTGTGCACACAGACGTACCACGCTACTCCCTGCTGGCCTTGCGGTCTGCCCTGCAGACCTAGAACACCGCGCCAAAGGGCAGGGGAGCGTCCCTATCCCCCAGGGCACAGAGGGCATCGGCCCCAGCCCAGCGGCTCCTCCGTTCAGGGATGGGAGACAATGAGTTCATGTCCCATCCCCAAACTGAGCACCTGAGAAGGATCTGAGCTGCTCCCCCTGCTGGCTCACCCTGGGTTTGGGGTCTGCACCTCCAAGAGCCTCCATCCCCTCCCACATGGCTCCTGGGCCAGTGAGCTGGGAATCACAGAATCTTGGATTGGAAGGGACACTCAAGAACTAGTCCCACCCGCTCATTTTCAGATGAGGAAACTGAGGCCCGGCGAGCCCAGGCCTAACTGTCCTGAAAGGAGGGCCCCTCGCTGGTTGCTGGCTAAGCCCCCTCCTGGGCTCCGGCCACCCGGGGCAGTTGCTGGTGGCACAGACCAGAAAGAAGACATTTCTGTACTACCCTGCCTGGGGGGAATGCACGGTGGGGAACGTGTCCTCCTCCCTCTTTGGTCCCTCTCCTCTCTCGACCCTGTAAGTGGCCCGGGTCATCCAGGGCGGGGGTCTCGGCAGCCCCTCTGGCGGGGCAACCCCCTCGTGGCTGGCGGGGTTGGTGCAGCCCCCTCGTGGCTGGCGGGGTCGGTGCAGCAGCCGCGCCCTGCCTGCTGCTTTTCCGTGTGAAAGGTGTTTAATTATTTCTGACAGAGTTCAGCGTCGACATCTGTTCGTGAGCGGGGAGAGTCCATTTAGGTTATCCATCACCGTGACAGGTTCAACTTTTTTGGAAGCGCTTTTCCCTTCATAATGGGGCGGGGGTGGGGGCAGCAGATCAGCGGCAACGCCAGGCGCAGACAAAGACCCTCCCGGGGCTTCACGCGCGACAGACACCGCAGACAGCAGCTCCACCGGGGGGAGTGGCCCTGGCTGCCCGCCCGGACCTCTGAGTCCAGGCCCGGTTGGTGGCTGCCGGGATGGTGGGTGCTTGGGTGCTTGGTTTGGGAAGGGGAGAAAGGGGAGGCTCGTCAGGTCCGTAACAGGCTTTTAAATTCTTCTATCACTTTGGGCTGTACTGGCGGTTCAGTCTTTCATCCCCTCATTCATTCATCCCACAGATGTTTACTGACCCCCTCCTCTGTGCCAGGCACCCTGCTGGCCTCTGGGGACAAAGTGTGGAACTAATAGGCACGGTCCTGGGGGGTCACATTTTACTGAACAAGATGATAAAAATTACCCAGTTAATTAATTGCAGAGTTAAGTGCCAGGAAGGGGAAGAAAGGGCCCCTTGGTGGCGAGAATGGGGACCTGTGGGTGGGGCCTGGAGGTGAGGTAAGGGGTCCTCGGGAGGCCCTGGGGCTAGAAAACCCTAGATTGGACCCAGACTCCACTTCTCAACTCTCCAAGCCTCAGTTTCCACATCAGTAGAATGGGGGCATGATATCTATGAGACAAGGCATGCTCAGCCCCGGGTGCATTCTAAGGGCTCAGTAAATACTTTTTGTTGGTGTTACTTCCTGACAAGGAGGGGACTGCGTGTGACACCCATAACGGCAGCACTCTGTGGGCCTAAGGGTCTCTGCTGGGTTGGACAGGGTGGAATCCGGGGATGAACCCTGCACAATTCCACATTTCCCTTGGCCCCAGGTTTCCGGCCAGTAGGATAGGGAGATAGCCTGCAGCTTTAACTCCCAGCATCCTGCGAATATCCTCGGGAAGGAGGAAAACACTCGACAGATACTGTGGCTTGCATGTTGATTTTCTTTCTCATGATCTTTATGGCCTAATAGGTCACGTGTACCAGCTTGGGCCCTGCCATCAGACACACCTGGGTTCCCGGCCCTGCCACTCTGTGGGCAAGGAAGGTGCTCCCCCTCTGCCTCTCATCCACACCACCCGGTCAGGACGCTTGTTCTGAGGATGAAATGAAGGAATATGCACGCATGACCTCACACAGTGCCTGGCACGGAACAGGAGGCCATCATTCCTGGTTTGCTATTGTTCATAGCCATATGTCAGAATAACAGTCTCAAGACTGGCAGACCCCTGGTCAGCTGAGTCACATCCCCTCTTTTGAAAATGGAAGCTCATTCTGGCTGGGCGCGGTGGCTCAAGCCTGTAATCCCAGCACTTTGGGAGGCCGAGACAGGCGGATCACGAGGTCAGGAGATCGAGACCATCCTGGCTAACCTGGTGAAACCCCGTCTCTACTAAAAAATACGAAAGACTAGCCGGGTGAGGTGGCGGGCGCCTGTGGTCCCAGCTACTCTGGAGGCTGAGGCAGGAGAATGGCGTAAACCCAGGAGGCGGAGCTTGTAGTGAGCTGAGATCCGGCCACTGCACTCCAACCTGGGCGACAGAGCCAGACTCAGTCTCAAAAATAAAGAAAATGGAAGCTCATTCTATGTGCATTTAGCTCCTACTCCGGGCCAGGCACCACGGGACACAGGTGAGTGAGACCGGAGCTCCGGTGTAGCACTGTTACCCGGAACCCTTTCCTTGCTCTGCTGAGGGGAGACCACCTGAGTCTCCTGTGTCCATGGTCTTGGGCTCTAAGTCAGAAAGGAGGGGGCTGAGTGGGGCTGGGAGTCAAGGCCTAAAGCAGAGTGCTGCAGAGGGCAGCCCATGCCAGTGGAACGCTGGCTCCCAGTCCCTCCTCAGGCAGCATCCCCAAGGACCGCAGGGATTCTCACAGAGAAAGAGCTGGGAGGTGGCTGGGTGTGGTGACTCAGGCCTGTACTCCCTGCATTTTGGGAGGCCCAGGCAGGAGGATCACTTAAGCCCAGGAGTTCGAGACCAGCCTGTCCAACATGGCGAAACCTCATCTCTGCAAAAAATACAAAAATTAACTGGGCATGGTGGTGCAAGCCTGTGGTTCCAGCTACTTGGGAGGCTGAGGCTGGAGAATGGCGTAAACCCGGGAGGCGGAGCTTGCGGTGAGCTGAGATCCGGCCACTGCACTCCAGCCTGGGCGACAGAGCGAGACTCCGTCTCAAAAAAAAAAAAAAAAAAAGGCAGGGAGAAAAGACCACAGCCAGGGCCAGGATGGAGGCTATGGATGGAATCTGCTGAGTGAGTGAGAGAGCAGGGGAAGCAGAGGAAGTGACATGGCTGGAAAAGGCAGAGAAGCTAGAGATGAGCCATGCTGTCGAGGGCAGGAGCAGTGAGAGGAGCTGCAGAGCTGCAGTGACTCCCACCACCTCCCGAATGTGCTCGGCCCTGTTCCTCCCTTGACGTCTGCTGTGCACGGAGGCAGCGCACTGACGGGCGGTGGGGCGCATGGTCATTGACATATCCTGGCAGAGGCCACTTGGGCAGAACATGAGAGGCCGCGTCAAGGGGGGCAGAGCAGGTTTCTCCGGTGAAGCTCTACAGCCTGTTCGAGTGCATTAGGCTCAGAAAGGCACCGGCCCTTCATTGTTTAAATTGCAGCTTACTGTGGCACAGCAGCCGGGCCTGGCTGGCCAGGAACGTTGCTTTGTGCAGCTGTCTTCCTGGGGCCAGGCAAGTGCCTCGTGGCCTCCTAGAAAGGCTCCCTCTGCCTGAACTGAGCACACACAGCTCCTTCGGCCCCATCCTGAAGCCACTGTTCCCAAATATCCCATTTCCCTTTCTCCGTATGGTGCCCCCGGCTCTTCCACTGCCTGTTCTTTCCCTGCCAAAAGCTGTCGAAGATGAATCCCTGTCTGGGTGCTACAGGGCTACGTGCTTGAGAGAACACCGGTTGAGTTCTGAGGCTAGAACGTGGCGCGTTCCCTGGGTCCTTATCTAGGTCAGTCTGGGTACATGTCGCACACTTGCCCCAGTCCTTGGTAGACCTTTGCTCCTCTCTCCCCAGGGACATCGCTCTGTGGGAAGTTCATGCTGGTTGGCATACATCTGTCTTGCACCCCAAAATTCCCAGCGCAGGATGTCATGCATCAACTACCCCTTCCCTGGAGGGAAGTTTGGCCCAGACAGCCCCTGCCCCAGGGAGACAGCCTCCGCCCCAGGTGGACAGTCTCCTTCCAAGTGGATAGCCTCCTCCAGGTAGACAGCCTCCACTACAGGTAGACAGCCTCCACTACAGGTAGACAGCCTCCTCCCAGGTAGACAGCCTCCTCTACAGTGGAGCAGCCTCCACTACAGGTAGACAGCCTCCTCTACAGGTAGCCTCCTCCAGGTAGACAGCCTCCTCTGGGTAGACAGCCTCCACTACAGGTAGACAGCCTCCACTACAGGTAGACAGCCTCCTCTACGGAGTAGACAGCCTCCTCCAGGTAGACAGCCTCCTCTACAGGTAGACAGCCTCCTCTACAGGTGGGCAGCCTCCTCTACAGGTAGACAGCCTCCACTACAGGTAGACAGCCTCCTCCAGGTAGACAGCCTCCTCTACAGGTAGACAGCCTCCTCTACAGGTAGACAGCCTCCTCCAGGTAGACAGCCTCCTCTACAGGTAGACAGCCTCCTCTACAGGTAGATAGCCTCTGCCCCAGATGGACCGCCTCCTCCCCAGGCAACAGCCTCCTCTAGGTAGACAGCCTCTGCCTCGGGTGGACAGCCTCCTCTACAGGTGGACAGCCTCCTCTACAGGTAGACCGCCTCTGCCTCAGTTGGACAGCCACCCAGCCTCTGCACCCAGATGGTCTGGGTTCAGCCCAAGACTCTGCCACTCCGCAGCATCCACTATGTTCCCTGTCCGGAAAATAGGCCTGGTACCAGCAGCTGCCCCCTTCCGTGAATGTGAACAGTCATGGAGATGGTGCACATAGGCTCAGCTCCGGGCCTTAGGAAGTGCTCAAGAAACAGGAGCTGTTGCTGCTGCTGCTGTTGTGCTCATCGATGGTGAGAAGCCCACAGAACTTAGAGACAGCAGGTAAAGACCTGGCCAGGTGAGCAGCAGCCAGCATGGTGCAGGGAGGGGCATGGATGAAGGTGACACTGACCTTCTGGAAGTGAGGCATGTGCCACAAGGTGTCCGGCTTCACGGGCGGCTTGTACTTCCTCAGCTGACTGCTCCGGGTCTCATACAGCTTCCCAAGGACCACCTGCAGACCAGGGAAAGGCAACGGTGAGACGGTCGCCTGGCTATTTGGAGAAGGCCGTGCTGAAGGGATACAGAGACAGAGGGCTGGGATTCTTGGCGTGGCAAGATCCTCGGTCACTTTCCTTCCAGCCCCAGCCCTTCTCCAAGGCTGTTTCACACCACCTGCCTCCATGGTCCTGTCTCTGGCCACAGCTCAGGAGACTGGGGGGCGTGGGGTGGAACCCCAGGATACCCGGAGTATTCCAGTCCCTGGAACATGTGGGATTCCAGCATGCAACCACCCTGAGGGCATGGATAGTGTCTCAGTCATCCTTGAACTTGTCCTCCGTGGCTAATGCAGTCCCAGTGGGTCCCCAGGACTCCACGGTGTCTGAATGAAGAACTGTATGATTCGAGAGGTTAGTGCCTCTTAGAACAGGTCCTCCATGGCCTGCTCATGCAGGAGGAGTGAGAGCTTATTCGGGGGACTCAGGGACCCCCCACCATGGTGTCTCTGCAGGTGTGATTTCAGAGACACAGTAGAAGCCCGTCTGCTGCTGACCTGCGTGCCTGTGCCCTCTAACAGGTACCAGCAAGTCCACTGTTAGAGCCACGTAGCTCATAAGGTCTGTTCTGGACTGACCCAAAAGACTTGGTTCGGCTTCAACTGTGTCATGTCCTGAGATGTGTGAGGGGACAGGGCATAGGCGGCTGGGGATGGGCTGGAAGCCCTGGTCTGGGAGTCATCAGTATTGGCTGCAGCCAGAGCTACAGACCTGCAGCCCCAGGGGAGTGCTGGGGACAGAGGCCTGGTGGAGTAGCCCTGAGGCCAATGCTGCCAAGTCCTTTATCTCAGGGCTCAGTTAGGAGGGGCCCAGGGCATGAGCTCACAGGGTCTCAGGTTTCCTTTATATACTTTCTCGTAAATCGGGATTCCAAACTGCAGGCCTTTCAGGCCTTACAGAACATGGATCTGCCTTGGGGTTCACCAGGCCTATGTTTCCTCTTTCCCTAAAGATAACTGGCTTCCAAGGATGGGGCCGCATAAACTCCGTGTGGCCTCCCACGGCGTGAAGTACACGGAAGGCACAGTCGGCAAATAAAGACTGCACCGAGTTTAATCGAGGTGCCACCACCCCAGTAAACCCCTTTTATTGATTTATTGTATTAATTTTATTGAAAGTGTCTGTGGATCACTTACAAGCCCCTGACCTTTTTTTTTTTTTTTTTTTTTTTTGAGACAGAGTGTCGCTCTGTTGCCCAGGCTGAAGTGCAGTGCTGTGGTCTAGGCTCCTGGATTCAAGCGATTCTCCTGCCTCAGCCTCCCAAGTAGCTGGGTTTACAGGCACCTGCCACCATGCCCGGCTAATTTTTGTGTTTTTAGTAGAGATGGGGTTTCGCCATGTTGGACAGGCTGGTCTCAAACTCCTGGCCTCAAGTGATCCACTGGCCTTGGTCTCCCAAAGTGCTGGGATTTCAGGTGTGAGCCACCGCATCTGGCCATGTCTAGAAGGTTTTGAAACTATCTTTGAACCAAAGCAGAGAGGCTGTCTAGTCGGGGGTTATGGAGCCGGGCTTTGGAATTGGAGGCAAGCAGTCACGTCACCTGTCTGAGCCTCGGTTCTCTCTGCTGGAAACAGGGCGAGCAGGGTTCTTGCAGAGTTTGCTGAGTTCAGCTCTGAGCAGGGCAGCTGGCAAGATGATGGCTCACTTATCGGTAGCTGTTGCCATGAATTTCATCTGGGGTCATCACCATCCCACTCAGGCCATACCCAGATGCTGACAGGCTGAAGGAGGACACCGAGGTCTGTGGCTGGGGGGATGTGGCCTTGCAAACTGACCATCTAAGCAAGTCCGGTAAATTGTCTATCAACCCCAGACCACAGCCTCCCAGCGTTTGGTGGGTTTGTAGCCATTTGTAGGACAATATAGCAGACACAGAGAATCTTGGAGCAAGGTGACAAGGTTGGTACAAGTGTTTCCTGACTGCCTGCTACGCGCTAAGTATGCGCCGTTGGCATACTGAAAAAGGGCGGAAGTAGGACGGTCTCTCTCACGTCCCCTGCCCTTCTCCCCTCAAGCAGGTTATGAGACCCTCATTCCAGAGGTGCCCCCCAGAACCTACAGGTAAAGAACATCCTGATCATCTGAACAAACAGGACTTGCGACGTTTCCCCCAGTTTATCACCAAAAGATGTCACTATTCATCCAATCCTGTTTCTCCACAACTATCCCCTTCTTCACCAAATCCAGCCTAAAAATACACACGTTTAACCATTTCTTTGGGCCTTCATTTCCTTACGGAGGCTCACGTGTCACATAAAACTGAAAAACATTTGAATGCCTTCCTCTTGCAAACCTGTCTTTTGTGATAGGGCCCTCAGCCCTGAGTCTAGGATGGGTAGAAAGAAAGAAAGTTTCCTCCCCTCACAGGCACAGCATGGCAGGCCCTTATTTAATCAGACCCCTTTCCATGTCCAGTGCAGAAACCAAGACCCCAACAAAAAGATTCCCTCAGCTACACATGCAGAGCTGGCACCTGCTCCAAACCACACGAGCTGTTTCAGGGGGCTCTGCTTGAAAAGGAGGGGCTTTCTCCTAGAGCCGGAAGATGGGGTGCGTTTACCAACACTGGGTTGCGTGAAATACCTGCTAATTAAAACTCCCAGCTCTAAGCCGGGCACAGTGGGCTCACGCCTGTAGTCCCAGCACTTTGGGAGGCTGAGGTGGGTGGACCATCTGAGGTCAGGAGTTTGAGACCAGCCAGGCCCACATGGTGAAACCCCCGTCTCTACTAAAAATACAAAATTAGCTGGGCTTGGTGGCAGGTGCCTGTAATCCCAGCTACTCAGGAGGCAAGGCTGGAGAATCACTTGAACCTGGGAGGCGGAGGTTGCAGTGAGTTGAGATTGCCTCATTGCACTCCAGCCTGGGCGAAAAGAGTGAAACTCCCTCTCAAAAACAAAGAAAGGAAGACGAAAAAACAAAAAAAAACTCCCAGCTCTAATGCAGGGCTAGAAAGCAGTTTGTGCCGGTAATGCTCCCTCTGGAACCGGCCATTACCATAGCAAGGGGACTCTTGCTTGAGCCATTAACAAATAAACTGGTCATGGGTTGCTCTTAAAATATCATTACAATGCCGAGCTCTTTAATGAGCTGTCTGGGGCTCTGCAGACGGCTGAGAAGAGCCAGGAGAGGCCCTGGCACCCGCCACGCCTGGAAATCCTTGGCCCCCCACCTCGTACACCCTGCCTGGCCCCTCCTGAGGGGTATCAGGATTTCTAGAAAGACTCCTCCGATCCCCAGGTTGGCCCTAGCACATCACAGGCGCTGTCGCTGAGCCCCAGGCTTTTCCGTAAACAGCAGGAGTGGGACCTCTCCTTCGGGAAAAGCCTGGACTCTCAGGCTGGACACACCTAGGTCTGACACGGTTGGCAAATCACTTCATCTCTCTGAGCCCTAGTTTCCCTGTCAAATAAACCACACGGAGATGATAAGAGGAGAGACTGACCTCAGGGCATTCTCGGAGAACTAAATGCAGAAACTCAGGGTGCGCGCTCAGCCCAGCCCTCAGCTCAGAGGCTTCGGGAGGGTGCTGGTTGTGATTGTCATGACAACCAGCCATGCTGTAGCCACGCCCTTGATGAAGTCTGTAAAGCACCACGTGAACATAGCACAAATCTGATTTTACCATCATCAGTCTGGACCTACTGCGGAGGACGCCAGTCTGATCTCTCTGAACATTCGAGTTTCAGAATACTTTAAAGGAAGTACTATTTTATTTATTTATTTTTTATTGAGACGGAGTCTTGCTCTGTCGCCCAGGTTGGAGCGCAGTGGCACGATCTTGGCTCACTGCAACCTCCGCCTCCTGGGTTCAAGCAATTCTCATGTCTCAGCCTCCTGATTAGCTGGGACTACAGGCACGTGCCACCACACCCAGCTAATTGTATTTTTAGTAGAGACGGGGTTTCACCGTGTTAGCCAGGATGGTCTCCTGACCTCGTGATCTGCCTGCCTCAGCCTCCCAAAGTGCTGGGATTACAGGCGTGAGCCACCGCACCCAGCCAGGAAGTATCATTTTAGTATCTTTTCTTCTGAGACAGAGTCTCACTCTGTCGCTCAGGCTGGAGTGAAGTGGTGCAATCTCAGCTCACTGCAACCTCCGCCTCCCGGGTTCAAGCTATTCTCCTGCCTCAGCCTCCCGAGTAGCTGGGATTACAGGCGCCCACCAACATGCCCGGCTAATTTTTGTATTTTTAGTAGAGACAGGGGTTTCACCATGTTGGCCAGGCTGGTCTCAAACCAGGTGACCCACCCACCTCGTCCTCCCAAAGTGTTGGGATTATAGGCGTGAGCCACCGCGCCCGGCCGTGAGTATTTTCACATGTGTATGACAACGCAAATGAACAGTTAAAGATGGTTTTCCTTCCTGCTAAAAACCTCACTGACCTGATGTCCTGCTCATTGCTAGGGACTCCTATCACCAGCAATCGGCAGTGTTTGGACATCCTCGGGACCTCAGCTCAAACTTCCCTGTGCAGGTACTGCCTCCCCAAGCCTCGACTTCCACGCCTGGGAAGCAGGGATTACAATGCCTGCCTTGCGGCCTTGGTAGCATAAATGCGAGAATGCATGTCCTGCCTGGGAGGTGTTTGGAATACTGCTTCCTGGTTAATTTGTAATAAAATGTTACAAAGTTTAATATAATGTGTTCTTTGAGGCACCCTTTTAGAAGTGGGTTCCTCTTCAACTTTGCCTTATCAGCCTTTTCTCTATAGATTGTACAGGACATACTTCTGTGTGGGCCAGGTCGGATTAGTCTAAAATCTGATTTTGGGTGTGTGAAGTTGTGCAGAGGTTTAGTGAGAAGGGTCCCTAGGTAGGAGTCAGGACAGCTGGGTTCTCATCCCCGCTCAGGGTCACCCGGGGCCTATTGACTGGTGGCCTGGACCCATCTCCTCCACCCTCTGAACTTACGTAGCGTCGGAACTGGATAATCACCAAGATCCTTTGAGCTCTAGATTCTCTGACGCTGGTCAGAAGATGCAACCTGATTTCCCACCCACCGCCAATGACAAACATACACAAGTGTCATCTCGATGCTTGGCTCTGGCCAGCCCTTCTCTCTTCTCCACCCCCTCAGCTGGCAACTCGGGAGTGAGGGCTACGTTTACCTTCTGCTTCTTCTCCAGTTTGATGGCTTTCTGGGTGGCCTTTTGTTCCTGTACCCACAGTTGCAGGTACCGGTGCTGCAGCAGATCAAAGAAGGGTGTGGAAGGCCTGGAGGGAAGAAATTCAGACAGAGCTTGAGGCCCTGGAAAGACAGAGGCACCCGCTCCCCACCCCCCGCCGCCAGGAGCCTCCTAAACGTCAGGAGCTGCAGGGTGCATGACTCCTACAGCTGTGAAAGCCTCTCTCCCAGCCCGCAAAAGCTATGAAAGAGGTGCCTCACCTAGGCTTATGAGTGCAGGGCCTGCGATGGTGGTAGGACTCTCTCCTTGACCAAACGTTAGAGGTCTGGTCCTCTGAGCTCTCTTTCTCACTAGGCCACATTCCTGGGCCCTATCCTTGGCCTGCTGAAGCCAGTTTTAGCCAAGAGTCCCGCTACGTTGATTCGCCACCCCTTCACATCTGATTACCCTTGACAGCTGATTAGGTTCCTCACCTGTACCCTTGATATCTGATGACCTTGCCCTGCCTTTAGCAAGGATCTTCCTGCCTTGACGTCTCCTCTTAGTAATTTTCCATCCACTGACCCCGCCCCTCCCTTGGCTCCTCAGCCAAACATCCCCACTTCTGTTGTATCTGAAATTGAACTCAGTTCTATACTGAAGCTTCTCCCTTTTTGCAATAGTATTGAATAAAATGTCTTTACCACCTTTAATCAGTGTCTGGCTCTGGTTCTCTTTGACAGCAATTTCCAGCCAAGGAGCACTTACCCTAGGCACTTTGTATGCTCCACTCCTTCCCAACATGAAAATGGATACTAGTATTATTCCCATTTTACAGATGAGAAGGGTAAGATCCCAGAGCAGTGCGGGCAGCACCGCAAGGCAGACCCGCTCAGCCACAAGCCTCTGTAGCAGCGGGATTTCATGTCCTTGCAGTGAATGGCCAACTGCTCCCAGGTGGGACCTAATCTCTAAACAGGTGGAGAGGCTGCATATCCAAATGGACAATGGCCAAACCACATATAAAAGTGAACTATGGGCTGGGCGCTGTGGCTCATGCCTGAAATTCCAGCACTTTGGGAGGCCGAGGAGGGTGGGTCACCTGAGGACAGGAGTTTGTGACCAGCCTGGCCAACATGGTGAAGCCCTGTCTCTACTAAAACTACAAACATTAGCTGGGCATGGTGGTGTGTGCCTGTAATCCCAACTACTGGGGAGGCTGAGACAGGAGAATCGCTTGAACCCGGGAGATGAAGGTTGCAGTGACCCGAGATCACGTCACTGCACTCTAGCCTGGGCAACAGAGCAAGGCTCTGTCTCAAAACAAGAGCAAAAACAAAAACAAAACTATGAGCCACAATCTGCAGATAGGCCAGGAAACCAGCCCGTTTTGTACAGTAACCAGCCCAGGAAGCCACCTGCTATGCCAGACTTGTAGGAAGTCAGACTGTGGTCTCTACCAACAGTCCAGGAAGCCAAACAATAACCCTCGAAACAGCCAGCACAGCATGTCTGGGACTTGGTTAATAACTCCCAGCTCCCCTAATTTTTGTACACACTTGCAGCTCAGAACCAACCAGAGAAAACTAAATAAGTGCCCTTAACCAGTCCCATAGGATGCCCCCATATATATAAAATAGATACCTAGAATTTATGATGTATATTATATACATGATGCATATACATATATTTCTATTTTCATGAGGAAGAAAATGAAAAGATAAACCAAACTTATTAACTAAGAAGCTACCTGTAGAATGAGGGAGAGAACAGGAAGGAAATAACAGAAAGGAAACCTAGAACTTTTTGAATAGACTTTGTGTTATAGTTTTAACTTTGGAAACATAAAAAATGGGTTTTTTTTTTTGCTAATTATGAAAAAATTAAAGAGAAAGGATTAGCATCTACCCCATATCACAATAGGAGAGAGCAAATGAACTTAATTGTATGTCAAGTTGTGGCATAAACACAGATGATTTCAAGTGACTTTATTTATTTATTGAGGTGGAGTCTTGCTCTGTCACTCAGGCTGGAGTGCAGTGATGCAATCTCAGCTCACTGCAACCTTGCCTCCCAGGTTCAAGTGATTCTCCCACCTCAGCCTCCTGAACAGCTGAGATCACAGGCACCAGCCACCACACCTAGTTAATTTTTTGTATTTTTAGTAGAGACAGGGCTTTGCTATGTTGACCAGGCTGGTCTCAAACTCCTGACCTCAAGTGATCTGCCCACCTCAACCTCCTAAAGTGCTGGGATTACAGGCGTGAGCCACCTTGCCCAGCTTCAAGTGACTTTAAAAGAGATTTGGGTAGAATATCCCTAGCGTAAAATATCCTGAGGATAAAAAGAACCATGAGGAAATCTGAAGCTGTGTCCTTGTTGCTAATAATAATGTTGATATTGTTAGTTTGAAACTATTATGTATACATTCCAGGATAAAGCAAATTAGTAATTATATAAATGCCATTAGGAGAAAAGAAATACCTATATAAAATCAGTAGTAGGAAAAAAACCTCTGTAATTTTAAATTTGAATTGTAAACATCATCATGAACTCGTTAGTTTTCCTCTTTATAAAAAGTAACATGTTTCCTATCCCTATCTCTGTCCCCTGTAAAAGTCTAGAAGTGATCAAAACTCAGTAGCAATGAGCACCCCTAACGCCTAGACTGTGGTCTCTAAGTGCTGTTCTCTGCTCAAAAGAACCAGGGATCACTGGAGAAAGGGTTGATCTCTGTGCCCAGGAGGTACCCATGCCAGAAACAAGAAGGCTGTCAGAGGCTATTGGGAGACGTGGTAATGGATCACAGGGGCCAGCCCAAATTGGCCAAAGACAGGACAATTTGAGGATTAGATAGAATAACAACGGCCGTGAGTTGAAATCCATCATATAGCACTCTCTATATGACACATGGACATATATGTATAATTCTGGTTGGGGAAAAAAGGAAAACCTCCTTGTGCAGTTTGGAGGTTGCTAGGCCACAGAATCATTATTCTGAAAATAAATAACAGAGCATTTACCTGCCTTTCCTCCTGTACTAACAGGATCTTGGGGTAATCAAATAGGCGATAAGGGAAAGTTCTTTATAGAAAAACCAGAGCTCGGCCAGGCATGGTGGCTCATGCTTGTAATCCCAGCACTTTGGGAGGCCGAGGCAGGTGGATCACAAGGTCAGGAGATCGAGACCATCCTGGCTAACATGGCGAAACCCCATCTCTACTAGAAATACAAAAAATTAGCTGGGCATGGTGGCGGGCGCCTGTAGTCCCAGCTACTCGGGAGGCTGAGGCAGGAGAACAGCGTGAACCTGGGAGGCGGAGCTTGCAGTGAGCCGAGATCGCGCCACTGTACTCCAGTCTGGGTGATGGAGCAAGACTCCGTCTCAAAAAAAAAAAAAGAAAAGCCAGAGCTCATAAATGCAGGAGGAATGACAGAATTAGTGGGGAAATCAGTGTTTTGTGACTCCTAATGAAATAATGGATCTAGGGAGCATTCATCGGTGGCTGCTAAAATGATCAGGTGGAGGCTGATGGGAGATTCCCAACAGATGGGTCATGCTGCAGCAGCTGAACCGAATGACCAGCCCTTTCTATGATTGTCATGTTATTATTATGGTAAATATACACAACATAAAATTTACCCCAGTTATCAATCCTGACATCACTGACAGTGACAAATAGATACTGTGCCAGAAGTGATAGGCTAGGAGGTATGCTGGACTGCCTACCAAATATGTTTGGGGGAAGAAACCCCAAAGTAAACTAACTGGAAGGTAATCAAGACTCTAGACCAGCACTGTCAAATTACTTCTTTTTCTTTTCCTTTTGTTCTTTTTGAGATGGAGTCTTGCTCTATTGCCCAGGCTGGAGTGTAGTGGCGTGATCTCGGCTCACTGCAACCTCCACCTCCTGGGTTCAAGTGACTCTCCTGCCTCAACCTCCCGAGTAGCTGGGACTGCAGGCTCCCAACACCATGCCCAGCTAATTTTTGCATTTTTAGAAGAGATGGGGTTTCACCATTTTGCCAGGCTGGTCTCGAACTGTCGACCTCAGGTTATCCACCCACCTCAGCCTCCCAAAGTGCTGGGATTACAAGCGTGAGCCACCGCACCTGGCCTCAAATTACTTTCAAAAACAAAACAAAACAAAAAACTGCAATTACTTTTGTACCAATCTAATATAACGTGAGCTACCCTGTAACCCCAAACCAAGGAACGCCTGGAGCTGCCAGCAGCTGGAAGAGGCAGGAAGGGTCCTCGGCTAGAACCCTGGGAGGGAGCGGGGCCTGTTGACTCCTGTTTCATGGGTCTGGCCTCCAGAATTGTGAGAGAATCATTTCCTGTTGTTTAAGCCACCAAGTTCATGGTAATTTGTGACACTGGCCACAGGACACTTGTACGCAGGGGTTCCTCAGCCTACACACTGGGAAACATCGATGGGAACCACGTTCCCGCTGAGCGGTATCCAGAACACGGCCAGCGACTGGAACATGGAAGAGTCTTCAACAGCCAAAGGGCCTTTTGAGCAGTGTTTCTCAAATTATGCACCTGGGTCACCGTGGGATCTTGTTCGGGGCACCTCCGGTTCAGTCACGTGGGGCGGCCAAGGCACTGCATCCAGGCCTCATGCTTCAAGGCTTAAGGACTTGGAGATGATCTAACCCCGGGCTCTGAGCCTCCCAAAGTCCCAAGAAGGTGCAGGCGATTATTACTGTGCAGCTATGTAAAGACATTCATCTGAGCAGAGGATCCACAGCTTTTATCCGATGTTCTCAGCCTCCCAAGTGGCTGGGACCTGAGGCGTGCGCCACCATATCTGGCTAATTTTTTGTTTATTTTTTGTAGAGATGGGGGTCTCACTATGTTGCCCAGGCTGGTCTCAAACTCCTGAGTTCAAGCGATCCTCCTGCCTCTGCCTCCCAAAGCGCTGGGATTACAGGCGTGAGCCACTGCACCTGGTTTATGTGTTTTTCAAAGATGCAAATGCCCCAGGAAAGGTTCAGAACCTCAGAACTTACCCCGTGACTTAATTTCACAGAAAAAATGAATGAGGAAATGGAGGCGCTGAGAGGGAAAGCGGCTCCCAGGGTCACACAGCTCGGGACCAGAGGCTCGGGACCTGGAGCCTCTCACTCTGCGTTTTATGTGGCCTGCATGGTGGTCTTAAACTTTGACGTCATTGTCAACACTTAAAAATGAAAACTTTTTCCATTCAAAAAACAACTTCCTGGAGTGTCTTGACATTTGGTAAGTTCTGTCAATGCTGCACTGCACTCCTGGCTACAGCAATTGGCTGACGCTGAATAAAAGTTCCCCTTCCGCCCCAGGCCTCACCCTGCCCTATTGCCTTACCAGGCTGGCTCTGCTCTCTGCCGGGCTCCTCCACATGTTTCAGCTTATGGTCCAGAGCAGCTGTAGAGCTAAAGCAGACACTAAATATCCACTCCCTGGCCTCTGACTGTGCTCCTAGGCCAGTCTGCCTCCCCTGCACGCAGCTCTCTTTGGGCCGGAGCTGAGCTGCGATTCTGTTTGAGCCTGGGATTCTGTCTGAGCAAAGGTTCAGCAGCTTCAAGCTGCTGCCCCTGCTCAGAGGTCCTTCACACAGCAGCCTGTGGTGCAGCTACAAATGGTGGTTCTTTGTTTTCCAGTTCCTTTACCCCTGCGGTGACTTTTATTACTTAATTATTACGCACCCCATGCTTCTGAGCAGCCT